AAAAAAAGCTAGATTAATCTTATCTTCAGGATGTAAGGACAGAACACCCCAGTAGTTCTAAGCAGGCCATATGCAGCCTCAAGACAAAAAATTACAAATGGTAAGAAGATGGGGATGAGTAAAGAATTTAGATTGTTAACTTAGAATCAACAACAGCACTCTCCCCCAAGAAAACGAAAAGGTGCCATTTTGAATCTAAGCAAATTGGCTCCAAAGTTTTCAGGACCTCACCGTGACCACTGGAATTAGTTATGTGAAACCTCCTGGTTTTCACCATGATCTAGCAAGACTAGGATAAGCACACACTTTCAGTTTAAGCACATTTATTTAGGAAGTAGCACTTCTGTTTACATTAGTTTTAAGAACTTGAGTTATGTTCTTCAGAAACTGATTTATTTACATATTTATTGTTCCATCATCTGGTATACAACACCCGATGTTTTAATTTTTTTTTTTTTTTTTTAACCAGCAGCAATTAAATAGGCTTCAAGTTTAATGAAAAAGGCTTTTAGTTTTGGACATTTTATCTGATAAACAGACAAGAAAACAGTAAGAACAGGACAAACAAAACATTTTATTGTGAGCTAAAGCTATGTGATTGCTTGTCATGCTTTTTTACATTGCTTATTAGTAAAATGGTGTTTAACATTTCAGAAAACATTCTTAAAAGAACAATGAAACAAAAGTGCTTCAACAAAATACAAAACTCAATCCCATCCCAGATCAGAGTTGTCCAATATCTTTTATGGGTGTGGGGTATGGTGTTTTGTCTCCACCTTTGGTTTTCATCACTTTAATAGTTTTCTGAAAAATACTGACTAGCCCTTCACATGACTAAAAATTTGAATCATGTGGCAAAAACAGTTTCTGTAATTCCAGTCCCTTTGACAGGTGTGTGACTATTAGATARTATTTTCTTCCCCACTCCTAATGGRAAAAAACTCTRCAWAACTGAGAGGCTACACCCTGGCATCTCTGACGAACATGCCTGCATTAACCAACTACAAAGAACGCTGACCTTTTATCCTCAAAGCCACTTCTCTGAAGAAAGGATTTTAAKAAGTGTATCTTACAAAGGCAAGGMGAGTCTTACAGCAAAACAAGGTTGATCACCATGGTTTCCAGAAGTCAAGCATTTGCAGATTAAAACATCAGACTGAAGAATCTGCAGTGTTGAGCCAGTATATTGAATCCACTGGAGGAGTGTACACCTTGCCAATTATTGCTGAACTCAGGAGGTAGTTATTGACAAGGTRACAAGTTTCCACTCTTAAGACAGCTAACAATTTACACAAGAAGCAGGAAAAACAGAATATACATTTCCCTGTACTTTACAAGATGATGTTGTATTTGCAGAAAGTGACAGCTTGACTTGCTCATCCTGTGTAATTACAATTACAATTAAAAGAAAAAAAAATTGAAAATTTTTATTACGTAAAAAATTCTAAAAGAAAATAGCTGATCAACTGGTCATTTCTTAGGATGTCTGCAGATCATCCTAAGCAAAAAAATTTGCATTGGTCAGTAAAAAAAAAATTCTTCAACACTAAATAGCAGCTCAAGAGAAACTAGTAATAAAACTGCCTCTAATTAGCACAATGACTGAGATAACTAGYTGCATTCACCAGCTGCTTGCTACTCTTAATTCAATTTTTGATATCTGGTAGAAACCCCAATAACTTAAAACATCACAAAAGCTTGAGGCTGCCACAGACAATGAATAAAAATCTGGTCAGATACAGAAGCAGTGGCTCCCTCCCAAAGCCGCCACATGCAGAAGCATCACTAAGCACTGCAGAAACTAGAGAAGCACATCCTAGGCACAACTATTTCCTTGTCTTGGCTAGGAAAGCACTATGAAAATCTAGGGCACAAAGTCTCACCGCAGGTGAGTAAAGAAACCCAAAGGAGAATGTTGCTTTCCAGCTGCAGAACAGAACTCTCAGTTCAATTTGCCAGCRTATCTGACCGCAGTATTCCCAGTACAAAGTACTTAAATTTCACAAGAGGGATTTGACAGCAGTGCCAAGCAGTGCTAAAACCCACTTGTTTAGAATAGAAAAAAATAGTATTTATTCTACACCAGAAGGTTGAGTTATATGTATAAAAACTGTCATTTTAAAAACATCTGAGTGAACCTAACAGTAAAACCAGCAAAAGCCTCTAATTAGTGCAGTGACAACATTCCTTCTCAGTTTAGAGATCCCATTCTTACTCATTTTAAAGTGTTATTTTCACATTTATTGGCTACATAAAGGGCCATATTCAACAGAATTGTTTCAATGACTAGCTTTGAGTCAGTAAGACATCTTAGGGGCACAGTGCCTGTTTCTAATGCATTAAACCCTGTAAAGTCTAAGAAACCAACAGGACAGAGAAACTTACTTGTGCATAAATATCCTAGTTTAAGGCTTATCTTTAACATTCTGTGTTGTTTTTTTCTTAGCATACACAGAGTACAGGTTTGCTGTAATCTATAGAAAAGTCAACATTAGTAAAGGGAACATAGTAACACATGACAAACGCTCATTTTAAGGAGAAAGAGCAATCTACAGTACTTGAATTTTCCCCTCCTGGAAAGGAGGGGAAAACTCAAGTAAATGTCTTTCCTCCTGAAGACAATGTTTTTCCAGTGTGTTGAAAGACAAAGATGTATTTCCTGCTTAATAAAAAGCAKAAACCTGCTTAATAAAAGCAGAAASATGTATGGAGAAGATKGATAGAAAAACACAAGGGGCTTGGGTTGATTTTATTTTCTCTCTCCAAGTAACTGCTACACTTGAAAGCCAGTAAAACACATCTGCAGAAAGCCAGACAAGCTGCTTACTAATCATGTCAAAAAAGTGGGTCAAGTTGTTCATTCACTAGCAGCGGGCAGATCCACAAAAAGGG